TTGGTGCTCTAATGATTTGACCAAATTCTGTGCACAGAAACCAAAATCCCAGGCAGAAGAAATTCCTTGCTTTACCTCTGCATTTTATATACAACGTGTCTCCAGGTAATGTATTTTGTAAGAAAGTATTTCTATTACCTCCTCGCCCCTGAGATTCTGTGTAGTCCATTGTCGCAGGAGAGCAGCCACTGGCATATGCCGGGCACAGTTCCCCCGCTTAGGCTGCACCCTTAGGGTGCAGCCTAGTTAGCGACATAAACCTATCACAGGTGTTTCAATATATGTTAGTAGTTGTACTTGGGGGGAAAAATTGTGATGCTCCTGTTGTCAGCTTTCAAACAGAAGCCAGGGGCTTCAGTCAGGACTATTAACTTTAAGTGACTCTGCCTGCATTTGAAGGGTGACAGACATACTCCACACTATGGATGAATTTACCGCAAAACCACAGACATGCTCTACCTGGAATAAACCACCCAAGGACTGGGAAAATTATTAACTCCTCTGTAATACATGTCAGGTATGAGGTTGAAATTCTGATTCATACCCAACAAAAACACTCACCTTCTCACTTATCAGCTCCTGGGGGTGTAAATCACATTCTAAGAAAGACAGTAATTAGGATTTTTAAATCTCAGATCATATCACGGATGAAGAGTGGCGTACAGAATCGCGTACACATTCATTATGTTAAAAGTCTATTTCACCAACTAAAGTTACATAAGACAAAGCAGAAGAAGGAGAAGGAGAAGGAGAAACAGAGAAACAAGACAAGACAGGTGTCACACTTCCTCAAACATGGTCAACAATTACGGTGTTTAGAGACTTCATTTTTTCCAATTGCTCATCACATCCTTTGCCACGTGACATTTAATTTCCTAGGTGGTTTTTTTTTTCGTTTTTTAAAACTTACTACCAATTTAAGATTTCAGGAAGTAAGCAATAGGTTTACAGCTCTTACAAATTCAGGAACAAAGATATCACTGACCAAAATAAGGCAATGATCCTTTTGTGTGTGTGTTCTTTTTTAAAGCATATATCTTGTTTTCTAAATTTCTAAAGCATAAGTATGAAATATGTTTAGCTAATAACACTGATTTTTGATCAATAAGAGTTAGCGTGCAGGGGGAGGGGAAGGGAGAATTACAGCAGGGAAGACCTTAGCTTTTCATATTCTCCCTTTGGCATTACCAGAAACTTGTATTTTTCTTATTTGCCCTCTTCTGCAATTTATTATTATTATTTTTTAATACAAAAAGTTTAAGAACTATCCTGAAAACCTCCACCACTAGCGTGTTCAGAGAACCTCTCCAGTAGGGGGCATGGCAGATTCAACATGAAGAACATGGCCCGTTGGCCACGCGGCTCTCAAGCTGTGGTTTGCTGTGCAATATTCACAACCTATTGCATTATTTCTTCACCACAGAATGGAAAATATGTGTCACTTTAATATTGAGCAATCCCATTTATCGAAAAGTCAGTTGCAACAAAAAACACAAAGGGAAGTCATCAAACACTGTAGTTTTCACTTTAAATATAGGTTGGCTTGTTTTTTAAAAACACAGTAGCATGGCAACCTTTTCCCAAAAAGGCTTCTTAGTCTGTAGAGGATACTGGCTGAACTCTTAAAATTACCCATAGACACAGAAATGATAGATTACATACAGATTTATCAACCAACCTCATAATTTTCAGGAAAAAAAATTAATTTTCTGCCACATAACACCAGTTGTTAATTGGAAATGGTTTATGAAAAAAGAAAATCATTATATTAAACACTTACTGAAACATCTAAAATATAAACCAGTTGCTTATATGAATACATATACTCGTATACGTATATTTATATGCATGAGTATATTGAGATGATTGAATTTTCTGGCTTGGAAATCTCTGGAAGGTTTAAATGTCAAACAATTTGCTTATTTTCCTTATTGCTTATTATCCAGAGAGCATTTATTAAGTTATCTATTAACTATCTATGAACTAGAAACCACAATTCTTTGTGACATTATCTTGCTATTTTAACAGTACTTATACATTTACAAATTAATTAACCCTGAGTTAATCCTTTACTGATTTTTTTACCTTAAGTAGCTACGCTTCCAGAAGTTTCCTTTTTCACACATATGGGAGCTAATAGGAAGCTTTTGTATAGTATTTTAGAATTTGCAAAGGCCTTTCACATAATATGCAATGAGGTTGGCAAGAAAGATATATTACTCTTGATAGAGATGAGAAACTGGGGTTCAAGGAGCTGTGATGGGATTGTCCCAGCGGTTACTTAGCATATACTGTTTAAGCTGAGACTCTAACTAGGGCCCCTGACACAACTCCAGCTCTCCCAACTGCCTCTTTGTCAGAACACCTGGCCTTTCCACTAGGAGAGAGTTACACTGTTCAATGTTCTAAGTGAAAAATATACTGAGGTGTTTATTGTCAAGAAAAAGCAAGTGTCTGCGTATTACACATATTTAATAAACATACATCGAATCATCAGAAAGTAAAAATAGATGTAGGAAATATTAAGCAATGTTCTTTTAGAGATGAGGAGCATATGCTTGACAAAAATGACATTTTTACACTTCATAAACACATTTTAAAGTATGTATTACTGAAATCTAAATGATTTTCCTTCCCATAATAAGGTACATGGCTTTTATCTTCGGCAATAATTGCCAATCTTACTGTCCATTTCAGACTTGGAGCTCCAACTACTGGCAGCTCATCATAAGAATCTGTTAAACTAGTTCCAATTTTCTTTTTACAGTTCTAAGGCAAAGTAGGGAGAATATTTGCAGCCTCGTTAATATCATACTGTTAATTATTGTCTACTTAGATGCTGGATGGGAGAAACACTTGAATATGCCACTGTTCAGTTCTAATAATGCTATCTGAAATCAAAGCATTTTGTAGCTGAGGTTATTATCTCTTTGGCCTTACCAATCAAATCACTTAAAACCTGCTACAGCAGGCATGATTTCTGAAGAAAAAACAAAGGTATTCCAGCCCACTGTTGGCTTCTCCTCCTTGCCTCCTTTTGGTGCCAGTTATTAAGTGTTCTGGCAAATTGTAAGCCCGTCAAGAATAAGTCAGGAGGGACCCCTACACCCTCGCCTATTACACCAGAATGATTCTGGTGCATCGCAGCTGCAAGGTCATGGTGTTTCCCTCTATTTCATCATCAGACCTGTGATTTCTATTCTGGAAAGAGAGCCAGCCACTGAGTCCTAAGGAGTGAGCATAGAGCCACAGGGGCAGACCCAGCCACGTTATCTACTGGTCATCAGACATGCACCCCCAGCTAGAGCACTGTCGTCCGATCAAGTCACTTTCTCCTGTTCCTTCCCTAACGTGCATTCCCAAAAGCGTTCCAAGATGCCTTTGGAGGTCAGCACAGGCAAGCACAGGAGGATGGGGGCGGGCCAACATCCCCGCCCGGCCTGCAGCCAGCTTCTCAGGCACGCCTCGGCCAAGGTCGCCGGCCACTGCTCAAAGTGAAAGGTCTCTGTCAGCCCTCACACAGCCCCGGCCGGCCGGCCAGCAGCCGCACTCCGCCCCAGTGCGCCAGAAGCCGGGGCCGCAGACGTCAGCAGCGCCCTGGCTTCCAGACCCTTCTGCGGCTACCCTGACCGCCGCGGGCTGGTGTGGACCCGCCCCCGGGCCCGGCTGCAGCCGCCCAATAGGCGCCCTCTGGGGGCGGGCCCTGTGGTGTGAGTCCACGCCCCCACCCTCCGCCTCATAAATACGGCTGTGCCTCCCCAGCTGCAACCAGCAGCTGCGCTCCAGGCTGGATGATAATGCAAAGTGCCATGTTCCTGGCTGTCCAGCACGACTGCGGATCCATGGACAAGAGTGCCAACAGCGGCCCCAAAAGCGAGGAGAAGCGGGAAAAAATGAAGCGGACCATGTGAGTACGGCTTTCTTCTCTCTCCCGCCACCCATGCAGACCTAGCTCTCCCGGTTTGCTGCAAACGCGGGGCATTGGCACTCACTCGGCTTTAACAATAGGAAACTAAGTGTAGCCTGCGCCTCTGCAGGGGGAAAAAAAATGTAGAAAAGGTTAATTTGCTAAGTAAGGTGAAACCTGTGCGGTCTGTATTTTGCGTGTGTGAAGGACTGTCGGGTAGAGCTTAGGAACTGAAGAAAATTCTTGATATGGAGGCGAAGGTAGATGCGCTGAGAAATCGGGGTTGGCTTTTTGTCCCCTCNGCTTACACTCGGTTATATAAAAGCACACATACCAAAGATTTCCCAAATGTATTTCCAAAGAGCACGATAGCAAAACCAGTTCTCAAGCAGCACAGTTAAGACCCTGTCAACGTTCTCTTCTCTGTCAACCAGCCACACCCCCAGATGCTCCTTTATCAGTGGCTTTCCTACTGGCATCAGCTTCCTGAAATTCTGCGTCTTCTGCACATTTTGCCATTAGGCTTTGCATTACATTTGCATTGCACTGAGTACTTATTGATTCCCGAGACTAATATTAAGTGGAGAGGAGGGTCTGTGTGGAAAATGTACTGGGTTTCAGTTCATGCGTGGGTCTTTTCCTATTTTAATGGCTTGGCATCTATGTGCACTCAAAGTGAAGACTAGGAAAATGAGTAATCAGATGACAAGGACAGCCTATTCCTGCCTCAAAAGGTTGTCGTGAGGATCAAAATGAAATCCTGCTGGGCACACAGTGAGCCTCAGTGAATGTTGCTTATTTTGTATTTTCAAAGGTACAAGGTGGTAAGCAGAGAGACAAGGGCAGATGAAAAAACGAACCGGTGATGGGACAGGAAGAAACCTAGGGAGGGAAGGCAAAGGAAAAGCTGCTGAGTCACCAGCACAGCAGCCGAGTAGACCCAGCCTGGGCTCCCAGAGCTGCTGCGAGCGCTGCACACTGCACCTTGCTCAGCTTCCGGGCTCTGCTTTCAGCCTGGACATCGTGACCATGCACCGCGATCACCTGATGTAACCTGAGGCCGCCTCAAGCCAGAAATAACCAAACACATGGAGGGAATCTGTTTGTTACATTTTACTCAATCAGACTTGCCTCTGAGGACAAACTGACAAAAGGAGCATCCCTTTCATTAAATCAAAGAGCCCTTTTCTTTTCTGCCTCTCTCAACTGTTCTCTTCCTTGGGTTTCAAGAGATCCCCAAAGATACTTTCTCCAAGCTACATGTAAAAAATAAAAATATCCTTGGTAATGCACTGTGTGTACAGCCCTCAATTCACAAAGCATTTTATTTCACATTCACAAGAGGAGAGTATAAAAAGAAAAAAACTCTAGGAAAGGGATCTAGAAATTTTCATTTTTAATAAGATCCTTGGATGACTAGAAATCCCCTAATTTCACTTTTTTTTTTTCACTTACTAAATGAGAATGAAATTCCAGTTTAACCT